AGGCCCACACCCACGGCTGCCAAAAAGGTACCAGCCACAGGCTGAATTAAAAATAAAAAGAACAAAAAAACTATAACATACGTACTGTCCATGTACAGCTCTGCGTAACATGCTGATTCTGTAAAATGAATAATAATATTTCTAGATTGATAAACAACGTAATAATGCCCCATCTTCTAGGGGTAAAACCTGCTTAATGGGAACGGCCACTTTCAAAGATCTTCATATTATATTTTTTACTTAAATTTTACAAATATGTATTTGTCAGATCTGAAAAATAAAATTAAATGTAGAAATTGGGCCATCTTGGCTCCCTGTTCTTCATTGTTATAAAGGACAGTTTTTACAGCTGTCAGTCAGCACACTGATCTCCCAACAAACTTGCATCAAATATCTTCCTGGTGTAAGACATAATCAATAGCTAAGAGACATGATAAAGGGTTGAGAAGGAAATAAAACTATCTATGCGTTTCTCCTCTAATGCAAAGTGTGCCTTGACTGTGCCAGGACAAAACTGGATTGCAAAGCAAACTGATAAATCTTTAATATACTTTTAAACGTATATTGGCCCAAACATGAACAAAGGTAAACAGGAGTTGCAGTTGTTTTAGTAGATGGTGTAATTTCTCAAGAAGTGACAATTCCACTTGAATGCACACGTTGGGTGGATTAGACCTATGCTGTCGGCCAGATTGTACAAAACGGACAATACAGTGTCACTTCCACCTGGTCAATGTGCCCGGGATGGGGCGGTGTCTAGGCACTGAAAGAGTGGCGTTGGCGTTTATATCAAACTGAATACTGTAACACCTGAGATGTCTTATTCTTTAATTACATTTTCCTATAAAACCCCCACAGGTGGATTGTTACTAATATACTTTGTATCTATATGTTTGACCTTATTTATTAAAGGCAGGGGATTATTTATTTAACTGAGAACTGTGTGGGATCGATTTAAGGCAAAGATAACTGCATTAAAATATTTCTCCAACGCTATTTTGGCCTAAATGTACAATTTCCCTGTTAATTCCCGACAGTCCACAAAACAAACCTGTTTTCCTGACACTATAGCACCCTTAGGACCCCCACCCTCAAGGTCCCCCACCCTTGGCGCTGAAGGGGTTAAAACCTTAATTCAACGTCAGGCTCCCTCGACGCTGGTGACCTCTCCTCCCCCGCCGACCTCAGCAAGAGCCGCATGCGCATTCAAACAGTCCATAGGAAAGCATTTCTCAATGCTTTCCTATGGATGTTCCGCACGCTGGATGCAAATTTTGCATCCAGCGTCGCAGAAGCGCCTCTAGCGGCTGTCAGGAAGACAGCCACTAGAGGTTAAATTAACCCTGCTATGTAAACATAGCAGTTTCTCTGAAACTTCTATGTTTACATCTGAAGAGTTAAAACCAGGGGGACCTGGCACCCAAACCACTTCATTGAGCTGAAGTGGTCTGGGTGACTATAGTGGTCCTTGAAACTATAGTCCAGTTGGAGTCTGAATTTGAATGTGCCCCTATCACATTTTCTGATTGCAAACTCTTGTTATTGAGTGTTAACTCGAGGGTTGAAGGTCCATGTTCTCGGTGGTGATGGCACATTTATTCCACCAGTAGACTGACTGGACAAGGCTTTGATGTTTAAGTAGAACAGCAGTGGATGATTATAGAGTGGAAATGGTCATAAAAACACCATCCTGTACCTTAGTTACTATTTTCCTGAGTTGTTACAGAAGGTAAAGGTGCAACCAGTTTTCTCAGAACTTTACAGTCAGAGAGAGGAAGTCATGTCAGGTTAATTACAGAGTAGATTAAATAAAATACAGACTGGTTTATGTTGTTACTCTTGGCGTTCAGCTGTTACGGCTGCGGGATCTATATTATTTTCATGGAAACCCTATCAGTTATACATCGTGATGGGCAGAAGGAAATCAGGTCATCGTTCATGGAAGAGGGAGCCTCCAGCTTTTCCAGAAAAAGATGGCAGATCTGGTAACCCTGGGTGCCATGATTCCTCTTGTATTGTTAGTATCAACGTATCTAATAAAGTATCGTCCTGTCTGTAACGATTGGCGTTGGCTGGCAACATTTAGCTAATTAGTAATGTATACATCTCTCTAAGAGTTCATCTTAGCAGGGGAACCTTAACTTTGTGTCAAACTGCTCAAAAACAGTGGGGATGGTACCAGGAGCCAGCAAGTGCCATTACCAGGGGATGACACCAGAAGTATGCTAGCGCCACTATCTGCTGCAGTGGTTCTGGTACTTAAAGTGCCCTGTTGAGGCTTTCCTGTAAACTCAAATCATGCAGGCCAGTTGTAGCACTATTTCAGTTAGCGAATAGAACATTCAGTAAATAGTGTATTTATAGACAAAATGCTAAACGATTCTGCTCCTGGTCCCGTCCAATTGTCCCTTTATTTGCTGTTTTATTTTGGATCATACACTCCAAGTGTGAGTCCTCGTAGTTCCTCTTTATTCGGAGTGGTTGTTTGTGTGATATTACTCTTTAGTCGAGTACTAATTTTTTTATTTTTTTTCACGTTTATTTTCAGTGTCATGCCAGTCACCATGTCTGAATGGAGGGAAATGTTCTGGGTTTGATCAGTGCCAGTGCCCCGCTGGTTGGACCGGGAGATTCTGCCAGACAGGTACACTTTGCCATCTTTACATGTAGCGTGTGAGTGCGCATTTTGTGTTCAATGTTGTAACATATTGACCCATCTCGGTCCATGTGACTCCTGACGTGTAGCTTTTATACATTCTGTACCTTTATGAGTGTATATTTAATTTGTGATTATTGGATATTTTATGTATTTATTAAAGGGACACTGTTGTCACCAAATGATAATCGGAGTCTTACTGCAAGCATGACGAGACACTATAGTCACCAAAACAACTTTAGCTTAATGAAGCAGTTTTGATGTATAGTGTCACTGCTCGATTATCTTCCATTTAGGAGTTAAATCGCTTTGTTTATGCAGCCCTAGTCACATCTCCATGTGACCCGAACAGCCTTCCTAAACACTTCCTGTAATATTTACATCACATTATTGTAAATTGGGTTTGATTTACAATTTCTTATCCCTGGCTCTGTTTATAGCTTGCTAGTGAGTGCAGGAGACTCCTGTATGTCATTCAAGTTCAATTTGCAGAGCAGGTGATTAAACCATTTAAATTAAGTTACATCTGATTGAAAATATAACAATTTTGTTTTCATGCAGGCTGTGTCAGTCACAGCGAGGGGAGGTGTGGCTAGGGCTCCATAAACAGAAATAAAAGTAATTAAACTTCTTAATGGCAGAGAATTGAGCAGTGAGACTTCAGAGGCGCGATCTATACACCCAAAGTGCTTCATTAAGCTAAAGTTGTCTTGGTGACTATAGTGTCTTGTCATGATTGCAGTAAGACTCCAATTATCACTATTATTGTTTTTATAGCACCAACATATTCTGTAGCACTGTATGATGAGAATTAAAGTAAATAAAATAAAATTTGAACATCTTGAGGGGAAAGCGATGTGTTTTGGCTGCAGTACTTTAACAGAACACGTCCCCAGCTTTGTTTTGTTGTATGAGTGCTCGGTGTACTTCAGTCTACTTGAGTTCTTGCAGTCGTCCTTAGTGACCAGTGGATCACTGTGAACTTTGCTTTGGAAAGGAGCCATGTCTAGTAAGTGGTCCTTATGCATTTTAAACCCTTTTTTCAGACGTTGACGAGTGCAGAGTTGGAAGCACTTTGTGTGCCCAGCAATGCATTAACACAGCTGGGAGCTTCCGCTGCCAGTGTCTGGACGGATTCACGCTCGCTGAGGACAGAAGGACTTGTCTCAAAGTGGAAAATCCAACACAGCCAGCACTCACTGTCCCACCAACCAAGAATGTAACAGGTAACTGCTGAGCTACTACACTAAGCCTAATAATCTAGCTCCTCCTAGTGGTCGAAAGGCAAATCTGCTTTCACGTTACTACCATAGCAGTGTACTGCAGGCTTGGCCAAAAGATATTGATATCCCCAAATGTTGTAAAACTGCAACTACTATCATGCTTTGCCATTATGATACTATGTGTACAATGCATGGGTTCTCATGCATGGCATCATGGGATGGCTGTGACCCAATGCTCGTGCCTGCGAGATATCATAGGGAGAGGTGAAACCTAACAACTTTGAGTACATCTGATTAATGTGTTTCACACATTCTGACTGTAAGAAAATCTCCTTTCTTCAAGTCAAAACAGGTGACCTTTTGCCCTTTGTAGGGTCCTGTTAATAAACAGGTTACCAGAGAATCATTCATTGGCTGCTTGTTAAAATGTAATTGCAAGCTCTTTGGTTGGAAAAAATAAGCTTCTGAGCCTTTCAGACATTGTATCCAAATGTATGATAATGTAACAATGCACGTATTACAAATTCAGCTCTAGCCTGTCTATATACCAGTCTTTATACATGCTAATCTTTAGAAAACGAGGACAGGATTTATGTATGCATAGAGAATCAGGTATAAAAATGACTTCAAGAAATTGTATCTGTCACATCATCTTCAGCCCATCTGGTTAGGATTTAAAGCTGGCTCCATGCAATTTGTATTAAAAGTCAGAATATATCCCTCACGATGAAATATCGTTTTTTCTACAAACCATTTCAGATTTTTTAATCTCTCCAATCATAACAATTTTTGCAATTTACATTTTTTAAATTTATTTTTTTAAATTTGTGATTAGACTTCAATGTCACAGTTTGGTAATAACAGGGAATAAGGAAAATAAAACTCTTTTCCTGGCTATTATCTTGGCAGCATCACTAATATTGCTGCTGCCATGATTAGCCAGGAAACTATGATTTATTTTTTTATAGGTAAGGTTTTATAAAACTTCTCTCTTCTTATTAAACATTAACTTCTTGACCCCAACAGAGGTATCTTCACTTAATTGCATTTATTCTATTCGGAAAGTGCCTTCCCGGATTGACGCGCCCCTGCGGAATGAAAGAACTCTCGACATATGTTGGTGGCTGTTCATTATTACTTTTGGTACGCGCTGTGACACATCAAACTCGTACCGTGAGTAATAATGCGCAGACGCTAATTCTCCCATCGAAACGCGTCAGGGACGTTTGCACTAACAGGACTTTTATTTTTTACTTGGATTTACATAGTTGAATAGTTGATTTAAAAAAAATCTTCTTATAGTCACAGTTCAACTAATTTAGTCTGTATTTGCAATTCTAAATTTCTTGATTCCCCATAATTCAGTGTTTTGTGAATCCTGCAATTGAAACGGAATCTTAACATTGCACTGTGTTGGTATACAAAGCTTAATGTATTATAAGATGATACAATGTACATATCCGTGGGATAGTATGAGATTTGCCCAGATCTTACGCCCCTTGCTAAACATTCTTCTCTTCTGACTCAGCTGTTTCAGATACTGTCAGAGAAGAAATGAAAGAACTCCAGAACAAGATCGATGTTTTAGAACAGGTAAATCCAGAAATGTATTGTTTTTTAAAGTCCCTCACTATGCCTGTCCTCTCAATATACAGCATTACTAACCTTAACTGCTTCCACTGGAAGGCTATTCATGGCATCTACTACTATTTCAATATCATAGTTAGCCTTTACTGCTTCCACTGCCATTTCTATATCACAGTTAGCCTTTACGGTTTCCACTGGAAGGCTGTTCCAGGTATCTACTACCTTTTGTATATCACTGTTAGCCTTTACTGCTCCCACTGGAAGACTGTTCCAGGTATTAACTACCTTTTCTATATCACTGTTACTGCTGTGACTGGAAGACTGTTCCAGGTATCAACTACCCTTTGTATATCACTGTTACTGCTTTCACTGGAAGGCTGTTCCAGGTATCTACTACCCTTTCTATATCATTTTTAGCCTTTGCTGCTTCCACTGGGAGGCTGTTCCAGGTATCTACTATCCTTTCCATATTATTTTTAGCCTTTACTGCTCCCACTGGAAGGCTGTTCTAGGTATCTACTACCCTTTCTATATCACGGTTAGCCTTTACTGCTTCCACTGGAAGGCTATTCCAGGTATCTACTACCTTTTGTATATATTTTGTTAGCTTTTACTGCCTCCACTGGAAGGCTGTCCCCAATATAGAATCTGGTTATGTAGCAGTGGCATTAAGAAAATAATGTGTAAAATAATGAAATACAATAATTTGTTTCCTGTGTTGTGACCTGACGTCTCCTCTGTCCTTTCTGAACAGAAGCTGCAGCTGATCCTGGCACCATTTACCAGCCTCACCAGCCTATTTAGTGAAGGCGGCACAGATCCCATCGCTTTGCTGACGCACTCCTTCCAGCAGCTGGACCGGATAGACTCTCTCAGTGAGCAGATCTCATTCCTGGAGGAACGACTTGGGACCTGTGAGTATGCTACGGGTGGTGGCCAAATGGGATCATGGGTGCCCACACTGAGATTGGCATTGAACTGCCTCTATTCAGTGACACTAGAGAAGATCACAGTGCTGTAAAAATCGGCAAACTTGGAGGTTGTTTTCTAAAACGTCTGAATTCTGGACAATTGACAATAGAATTGTAGATTTGCTAATTTTTCCAGCTTTGCTGTTAGGGCCTAACATTTGCAATATGATTGTTACAGGACCCCTAAAGTCACTCAGGCCAATTATTGAGATGCAATGGTCTGGATGTAGTGGTCCTGTCATTTTAACCCTTCAAGTTAAAACATTGCTGTTTTGCGGACAGCCGCTAGAGGTGTGTCTGCTGCATTTACTGTGTAAAAACACGGACACGTGGTGTTCGGCGTCGAATGTCATCAATTGCAGCTCGTAGAAAAGCTTTGAATTCAGTTGTTTCCTATGGGGAAGCTTAGATGTGCTCGCCTCCTCTAGACCATCATCAGAGAGATGAACTCTTTATTTACTTACCGTACCCCAGCGCGATGTCCCTCAGCGCTGGGTCTTGGCTCCGCCTCCTCTGAAGTCTTTTGACGAGAATGCACATGCGCAGCAGAAGTAGCCTGGGTGCCTGCAGTGTCCCTTTAAGAATAACACTATAACGTTCCTTTAATTCTCTTCAATTCCCTTACTAGTGAATAAATAACTGCTCTTTATACTGCCCTGAATCAGCTGAAGCTATAGGAATATTAATCTGTACCTCAGCTGGCCTTTGCAAAGAGTAATGGGAGTTTGATTCCAACAATAGGTGCATTGCAGATTGGTGTTCATGGCTCTGTGTTCTGTGAAAGGTTTAGGTTAGCAAAGGTTAACCTTGGCATTGCTGACTCTTGTGAACTACACTCCCAAGGACGCTCAGCCAGAATCTAGGCAGAAATATTTCCATTGTTGGTTTTCATGACATAATCGCTTTTTATTAAGGCTGTCATTTAAAACCTGGTAATGGGACAAGGTATTCTGGACTCTCTGGGAGCTTTACAGTTCAGTAATTACAGGAATATTCTGCATTGTTGGAATAAAATCCGTAGGAGGGCTCTGCTAATTGCCAATGGCTGTCTGACCACAGGAAGCACTGTGTAAAAAAAAAAGGTGATTAATTCCAACCAGTTTAATTTTAAATTTAAATTTATTACTGCAATAAACTCACAAACCTCTCCTCTCAGTGCAATTGAACTGAAAATATCAGATCTCACCCCCAAAAAATACTCTAAGGAAATAGACTTAACGTACATTCTTAATTCTCAGAGAAACGTTACAGGAAATGTTTTACGGAATGCAGTTTATTGCTCTATGTCCTTAAAAGGGACAGTAGTATAAATATTCTTTAAGCAACTTGACCTGTGACAGCATGGGACGGCCTTAAATGTTTAGCAACAGGAGTTCTACAGAATCCTATTAAAGCAAAAATAAATAGATACAATTCTTTAAGCAAGAAAAATGAATTTAGTGTTCAATGGTTTTCAATCACGGCCTGAAATGCGATTATATTTATAGGATATCACATTTCCAAACAAGGCCCTCAATATACACAATCGTTGTCCAGTTTTCCCATGAACAATGGTTTCGTCATTTAAGACAGATTTGCCATTTAGCTATTGCTAATAAATTCTGCGTAATGTCGGACATTGCTACCTGATATGAACTCTAACTAAATACTGCCAATCTTTTGAGATTAAAGAAACACTATAGTGCCAGGAACACAAACATATATTCCTGACACTACAGTCCTGGCGTTGCTGTGTAGGCCCCCAACCCCGTTCCAATTACGCTGAAAAGGAGATTTTACTCAAATGTTCAATTTTGATGATCTCAGCCAATCCATGCTTTCACATAGGAAATAGTGATGTCCCGAACGGTTCGCCGCGGACTCCTCATTGAGTAAACTTTGACCCTGTACCTCACAGTCAGCAGACACATTCCAGCCATCAGCAGCAGACCCTCCCTTCCAGACCCTCCGATCTCCTGGACAGCATCCATTTTGAAGCTGCATTCTTAGTGAGCGGTCCAGGAGGTGGGAGGGTCTGCTGCTGATTGGCTGGAATGTGTCTGCTGACTGTGAGGTACAGGGTCAAAGTTTACTCAATGAAGAGTCCGCGGCGAACCGTTCACGGCGAACCGTTCGGGACATCACTAATAGGAAAGCATTGGGAGGCTATTGCACATGCGCAGCAAACCACTGAGCTCCTCGTAGAGTTGCATTGAATCAATGTATCTCTAAGGGGAACGTTCAGCACCTCAATGCAGAACAGCACTGATTTAGGAAGCCCTTCTTATGGTCGTCTGAGTGACAGCCACTGGAGGTGTTACTAGGCAGCAATGTAAAAACTGTCTTCTCTCTGAAACGGCAGCGTTTACAGTACCCAGCCTGCAGGACAGGCAGTACACACCAGAACAACTACATTAAGCTGTAGTTGGTCTTGTGACTATAGTTTAATTAGTATATAGTATAGTTTAATTAATTAAACCACTGGTACACAGCTACAACTTTGGTACTACAGGTCATTGTGAAATACATATCCCATGATACTCAGGAAGTCGGTAGGAAGTTCACTCATTCATAGATTGCTTTTGCGAATTGTAAATGACCCCTGTAATACATATGGATGTTGTGCTAAGTTGCAGATTCACGATAGACTTTGGAAATGAAAATGCCGCACTGTACATTCACTTTAATATTCGAACAGTCATACATTAAATTCTTTGATGCTTACAACTGACAGGCATCTCTCTGTTCAATCCAGCAGTAGGAAAATAAACGCTCAGATGGAAAATTATTGTTCAGTAGATGAAAATACAAGTTATCTATTTGTATATGGAAATGTATATTAATATTTAGTGTTCTAGGGAACAAAGGAAGGTATTTGTCATTAGAATTACATTTTGCCAGCTTGCTCGAGTGAAGTGTTTTTTTTCACAGATTGTATTCAGTTTTGTTTCAAGATAAATCAGGTTTTATTTCCAGCTAATTAGGACACATTACAAAAAAAGAAAAAAAAAGAAAAAAAAGTAGATGTATCTGACTGCTGCTATCTGCATACACCTAAATATGAGCTATAACAACCTTGAAAACTCAGTTAATTATGCCAATTATTAAACATCCCCCATTTGATGCACTGCGCCAAACCACATCCCGAAAAACTTAAATCCGTCATTTTTATGGCAAACAATCCAAATCAAGAAATTTACCTTGTATGCAGTGTTACAGAATTACAGCGTCACAGGGGAGATAAACTTTTATCCACAGATGATAAGAAACTTTGTAAAAACCCTTCCTGGGCATTTGTCTCTTTTTTTGTTAGATATATTTTCTCCTTTCGTTTACGTTGAGAAACAGTCTGCCTTGGGGAATGTCTGCTTATCTAGGAATTGTAGAAAATTTACATGGAAGTTGATAATTTTATACCTAAATAGCAGAACAAACAAAAATGCCTGCAAGGGATCATTTTTCCAATTTCGCTATTTTTTTACTTAAAATTTCTATATCTTCCTAACAGCTGCTAGAGGTGATTCCCCTGTGAGGACCAAGTCAAACTCTGTTCTAAATTAAATGCTGCTCCTTGCATGCGCAGTAGCCTCCTAATGCTTCCCTTTGGGTAAGCACTGAATAGGTTGAGATCATCAAGATTGATCATCTCAGCCAATG